GCACTTGGGAAGGGGGCTGGRTGATTTATGAGGGAGGGTCAGGATGTTGCTTGGCTGTCTCAGCTCAACCCTGCTATGCCTCAGTTTGCCCCATGCATTTTGGGCCACCATATTCTCCCCAGGGCCAGCGAGCTTTGGGGCTGRGCTGAACATCCTCCTTGTCCCCAGCTGGGGTGGGATTTGCTTTTTCCCACGGATGACGAGTGTCCCTGGTCACCTTCTCCCCAGGTCCAAGGGGTCTGCAGCGGAGCTGTGGCGTCCCTGGCTCTTCGTCCCGCAGCACTACTGGGTTTTCTTCTGGCTGCTTCTCCTGAGCATCGCCTTCCTCCTCCTCGTCCGTGTGCTGGAGCTGCAGCGGCTGCAGTCTGCAGCATCATCCAAGGCCTAGCTGGACCAGGGAGCTGGGAGGCATCTCTGCTCCTTCCCCACGTCCAAAACACCAAAACCCTAGAATAATAAAATGGGAGRAAAAATGGGGGAATTTGTAATGACSGAGCAGGGAGAAAACCCTGTGGTAGGAGCACAAAGGGTTCAGGGAGCTGCAGCAGCTCTCACTGGTGCTGTGAGTTTCCTGTTCTCAGCACAGTGAGGGGTGCAGGTGTGCCCTCACCTGTCCCCGTGTTGGGGACAGACCAGGCTGCCCACGTGTCCCTGGGTGCCACCACAAGCTGTCATTCCGATCTCATGCTCCTTGGCTGCTGCCCGGGGGACAGCGCTGGGGCTGGGAGGCGCCGGTCCGTGCTCAGCCTTTCCCACAGAGCGCTCACAAACAGAGGGAGCTGTTCCCCACGCCTSCCAAAAGCGCCTGGTTTGACTCAGCCGCCCCGTTTCCGTGTCCGCCCCAGCCCCCAAAACACGGGTGGGCTTCACTKCCCCCTCACCCAACAGCTTTGCAGGGACCAAAACATCCCGTCCGAGCTGCCGCGGTGTGGGTTCCGCTTCCAGGATCCCCAGGAGGGGCTGCAGAGGGAGGGATGGAGGTGCGGGACTGGTCACCCTGCCTGCCGTAGCCGCGGGCAGTGCCACGGGTGACTCACGGTGGCCGGCGTGACCAACGCCCCTTGGCCAGCACGCCCCGTGTCCCTGAGTCACCGTCCACAATCTCGTGGCAAATTGTCGCCGTGCGTCACAGCACGCGAGCCCCTCGCTGTCACAGCCGTCCCAGGACATGACAAATGTCCAGCGGGGCAAGGACATCGCCAGCAGAAAGCCCAAAAAGCACGCGGCCAGCAGAGACCTTCGGTGACCCGGGGGGCTCCTCCCGCCCGCCCCAAGGTACCTTCACCCCACTGGGACCATTCCCACCCGGGGGGACCCAGGGGAAACATAATCCAGGAGTTTGGAGCGAGCTGTGGTGGTCAGGRTGGTCAGGGTCCGGAGCTGGCACTKGGTGGGTYCCSCCCGCCTCGGACCCTCCGGTGCCCCCCAGCTCCCTCCTCGYTTCTGCTTGCGGGGGGAGCAGCCCAGCGTCAGGGGCGGGATGTGAAGCGGTTTGGCTTCGTCACCCGAATCTTTTTGTTTGCTTAGCGAAAAGTCWGGTTTCTCACCCTAATATATAAAAACCCCAGCTGGGGTTGCGCTGTGCCACTCGTCGCGCTGCTCCAAACCTCTCGGTGCGACATCTGCAGCGACACAAGGCGGGGGTGGCCCGGGGGCCGCCCCTCCCCCGGCACCGCCCGCTCTGGGTCCCCCCGGCCGCGGGGGAGGGTCGGRCAGGCGAGGGGAGGGGAGGGGAAGGCCGAGGAGGGGAGGGCAAAGGAGCGGAGGGGCCGGGCCGGCCGGCAGCTGCTGCTTGCGGAGCCGGAGCTCGTTTCCTGCTCGCTGTCGTCTGGCTGCGCCCAGCTCCGGTCCCTCCCCACGCYCCGGTCCGCGCCTCAGTTTCCCCCTCGGAGGGGCTGTGGAGGTGAGTGTGGGGTGGGCATGGGCAGAGCATCCCTGGGTGTGGGGGGGCAGGGCTCTGCTGTCCCCCCAGCCCCGTGTCCACCATCCCGACCGCCGGTCCCCTCCGGCCGCCCCGCTGGAGCATCGCTGCGCAGGGCGGGGACGGGGGTGACCGAACCGAGCGGTGACTCTGCGGTGCTGGGGAGGGCTCAGCCCCGCCGATCCCGTGTCCCGCGTGTTCCTGGGACGCTCCGCGGCACGGCAGCTCTTTTTCTCCGGCTGACCCCCCTCCCCGCTCCATCCTCGCTGTTTTTCCCCTCCAGCCCCTGACCTCTGCTGCCCCTGGGACAAAGGGAAAAAAGAGCAGTCCCTRCTCCTCGTCCTCCACTCCACTCCCAGAGCCACCAATGCTCCCTGTGATGAGTGGGATGGGGTGGGAAGAGCTTTGTTAAGATCCCTGAGGGATGCTCTGTGGCATCATCGCGGGGATGTCTCCAGTTCAGGGTGAAGGAGAAGCAGGAGAAGAAGAAAAGGATGTGGTGTGTGAAGTTGGCCCATGATGAAACTTCCTCTTTTAACCAAAATTCAGCTGCAAGAGGCAGGTCCCCTCTGGGCAGGGGGGGCAGGCTGAGCAACAAAAATAGGGGGGGAGGGCATTTTTGCTCCTCCCCAAGTGTTTTCTGTGCCCAGGGCTGAGATGTGGCCAGGCTGTGGCATGTGGATCGCTGGTAAAGGTCAGAGCAGGTTTCTTCCCTCTCCTGACCCCTTCTCCCCATAGCTCCACGCTGGGGCCCTGCAAAGCTGCCCCCACACCTCTGTCTCACACCAAAAGAGCTGACAGAGGTTTTTTTTCCTCCCTCCAAGGATTAAAATCCACCCAAATCGTGGCAAGTTTTTGCGGGGTTGGACACTTGGGATGTTTCTCCTGTTTTACAATAGCGCTTGTAAGAGTTTCCAGTGCCTTCAMCCCCTTCCTGACACCCTCCCAGCTCAGCTGGTGGTTGAAAGCAAGGCTTTGTACCCTTGGCCAAGCTGTTGGGTGGTCACCACAAACCCTCCATCCTGCCCAGAAGCCTTTTGCTGAAAGGGCTTTCACAGGGTCCATCCCAGCTCAGCAGCCTGGCCCGCAGTCTCCAGGCTGGATCCCAAACCTGGAACAGCCTATCCACACTGGGAGAGGTTATCTGCTGAAAATTCTCCTCTGGAGCCTTGTCCTTTCTCACCCCATTTCCATGTGCCTGGAAGACAYGTGAGCTCCCAGGCAGCTCCCCCACCTTCTCTCTGCGTGCAAGGGCAAGGGGGACACCCTGATGGGCAAAGTGGGATGAGTCGGAGCTCCCCATGAGTTGGACCCGGTGTYGTGGGTTTGGGGACACCCGGGTGATGTCCCCATGGGCATTTCTGCAGCCAGCCAAAGACAGCATGAGATGAGTCAGGGCTGGCTGCACCCCCCTCCTCCCTGCTGCTCGCAGGAACAGCGCTAAGGGAAGAAATGCAGAAKGCTTTGATGGGAGAGCAAAGCAGCTTGGCTCACACTGTGCCCTCCTTCACTGCCGCTGGCCTTTGCCGGCTAAAAGCTGTGTTTCTGCATCAAACCTGCAGGAACTGAGTTTCCCGAGGAGTTTCTGACCTTGCTTGCAGTTGTCAAGGGGTTTTGAGCCGGAGGGCTGGCGGGATAATCCTTTCTGGAGGAAACTGTGTAACACAAGGCTTGTTGTTCTGCCTCCTCTGAGCCTCCCTGCCAAAGCGTTGGGGCTGGAAAACTTTCCCAGGCAGCACGCTCCTCTTGGCATCGTGTCCAGCAGAAATCAAGGCCGAGAGATGGGCTTTTCTCAGGGCCAGGGGCTGCTGAGGCCGGAGTAGATGAGCTGAGCTGCCTTAGCTCCATCCCCTRGGGCTGCAGTGTGGTGACATTGGCRGTGCCAGTGCGGTGACACGAGCTCCTGGGGACAGCRGGGCACTGGTGCCCGGCCAGACAGCGCTGCCTGGGCAGCCCTTGTGGCAGGAGGACGGGCAGCACACCTGCACTCTCTGGGGAGGTTTGCAGCGCTGCCTCAGTTTCCCCAGGCTCACCCTGTCCCGCTGGCAGTGCTCAGGGGAAGAGCAGAGATCTGTCCCCAGTCTCACAGCCCTGTCACGAATGCACAGGTCACGTCCTCTGTCCCCACGCTGCCACTCTGGTGGGTGCCAGCCCCTGCTCTGCCCCGCTGGGTGCCTTGGCCTAAATCTGCCCAGGAAGGAAGTGGTTAAAATGCCCGGATTTCCTGACTGTGGTGCTGGAAGGGAAGGTGACCCGCAGAAGAGATTGGAGGGAAGGTGACCTGCGGAACTGCTTTGCGAGGCACTTTCTCGGTGTCGGGAAAGCCCTGAGTGAGACTGAACTTGAAATCCAACTAGAATTCGGTCTTTCCAGCCAAAATTTAAACCCACGCTTAARTAACTCCTTTCTCCGCCCCCTCCTCCTGAGGCCAGCTTAATTTATTCACGGCATCCTTGTCCCACTTCAGGGGTGGCCACCTTCCGGGTGCTGCCACGTGCCCACGATAACACTCGTGGCGAGAGGGCAAAGAGCGGTGGTTCAAAGGTAGGAGCTCTCCGTCTAAGCCGAGCCTTCCCACCGGATCCTTTCCCAGCTGCTCTGCTGGGCTGGGAGAGCCTTTCCCAGCCCCGGGGCTTGGCCACAGTGGCCGGAAAGGGCAATATTTTGTTCTTCGTGCTCGGGCTGGCAAGAGAGAGGATGGCACAGGCTGGAGCTGCGGGCGCAGTGCCGGGAGTGGGAGACAGATGAAAGGAGTGCGGTCCCCTGGGAGATGCCAGGGGCAGGGGGTTTTGGGATGCCCAGGGGGAATGTGCTCCTCCCACGGCTTCCTTGGCATGATGGGGCTGTCTGATGGGGCTGTTARCAGGGTGATTTGACTTCTATTTGGTTTCCTCACCGATGCTTCCTCTGTGCTAATCTGCTTCCTCCCGCTCCCGGAGTGGTGGAAGGGGAGGTGGGGGATAAAAATCACCCCAGTGCAGCTGCAGAAGCCAGGCTGGCGGGATGGATCCGACCCCACTCCCTACGGGCCCAGGGCTGGTCCCGCTGGTTTTTTTGAGCAGCTGTGGCCAATTCCTAAAGCAGGGAGCTCCTTCCCATCCCCCCCTAAGTGAGGCCGGGGCTGAGGAGGAAGGAAGCGGTATCTTTGCTCCAAAACAACYCGCTCTGCTCTCGGCTGTGGCAGGTACACGCCGAATGGAGGAAGCCACTTGCTGATGCCACTCGCCATCCCCTCCCCTGACGTCACCGTGGCAGGGTGACACCGTGGCTCTCTGGGTGCAGCATCTGGGGACAGTTCCGTCAGCGCCCCAGTTTTGCCAGTGCCATCGCCACCCGACATTGGCACTGAGACACCAGGTCTGGTTGGGGACRTGTTTGGGGTGGCAGATCCAGGAGGGTCCCCTCCCTGCTGACCTCTGCTGTCCCTGTGCCAGGCTCCTGGGTGACACGGGATGAGTGTGCCGGCCGACGAGCCGGGCAACCCGGCCCACGCCATCTTCGAGAGGTTCCTGCGTGCCGGGGAGTGCCGGGAGGTGCTGGGCTGCTTCGTGGAGCTGTGCCAGCAGCTGGGGCTGCAGGGCAGCGGGCTGCAGCTCTACCACGGCCTCAAGGCTGCCCTCAACTACTGGAATGCCAAGGCCCTGTGGAGCAAGCTGGATAAGAAAGCCGGGCACAAGGACTATGACCAGGGCACAGCCTGTGCTGGCACCAAGGTACCCGGGACGTGGGGTGAGGGGTTGGGGTCCCTCCCTGCCCTGTGCCCTCGTGTCCAGGGTGAGAACATCCCTTGGGACACTGGCTCTCATCCCAGGAGGATGCAGGATGTGCCAGGCRGGAGGTTGATGGAGTTTAATGGGACAGGATGTTAATTAGCTCTGCTCAGTTCCCCATGGCACGATGCCACCTCAGTGCCACCCAGACAGCAGCGTCCTTCCTCCTGCCAGTTGCGTCTCTCTGGGGACATCCCATGGAGGGGGCTGAGGAACCTGTCAGGTCCTTTGTGGGAGACAGCAGCACCCCAAGCAGGATGTCCCCCTGTGGACGTCTGTTCCCTGTCCCACAGCTGATGGCTTTTGCCCCAAATGCTGTGCCTTGCTGTCCCCATCGCTGTGCAGAGGCTGTCAGGACACCAAAGCCGTGCTGCAGCAGAGCTGCACCTTATCTCCCCAGTGCTTTAATTGCTGCCACTGCCCTGGGCCAAGGACACGTTCAGGGAGGCAGGGTGGTGAGGGAGGCACCCCTGTTTTCAGAAAAAATCAGCCAAAAAAGGGGAAGAGTGGGAAGGGCCAGATCCTGAT